CAGGCCAAAAATACTGCATGTGAACTGAAGTTTGAAAATGATTGTTCTGGGTAATGAGCTAAATTGAATTTAAAATTGAACATGTTACATTTTCATTTTAGAAACAGTTTTCTTTCCATTTGTTCCCAATACCTAAGCGAAGCTCAAACCAAACTATCTTTCAGACTTTGGTCTATAGTTAGTAATTAGTTGTAAGTAGATCTGCACAGTTCTAGCCTGTTTTGTTCAAGGGTCAACCGTATGTACTGTGTTTTTTCATATATATAAATACCTATGGTAAAATTTAATTTATAAATTAAGCGCAATAAGAGATTAATAACAGCTAATAATAAAATAGAACAGTTATAACAATATACTGTAATAAAAGTTATGTGAATGTGGTCTCTCTCAAAATATCTTATTGTACTGTACTTACCCTTATTGTGATAATCTGAGATGATAAAATGCCTACATGATGAGAAGGTGTTGTGATCTAGTGTTAGGCTACTATTAACTTCTGATTATGCAGAGAAGGAGATTCATTTGCTTTGGGTGATCCTGGATCATTGAACCATAATGATGTGGACGGTTGGATGTCAGGAGCAGATGATGTTGATGGCTGAGGATCCTAGGTGGGACAGAGCAGGACGGTGCAAGATTCATTATGCTACTCAGAACAGTGCACAGTTAAAACCTTATGAATTGTTTATTTCTGGAATTTTCCATTTAATATTTTCAGACTGCAGTTGACTATGGGTATTTGAAAGCTTGGAGAGTGAAACCGCAGATTAGGAGAAACTACTGTACTTGAAGGCTAAGTACAGTTTGAAGTCTAATCTTGATGTAGCATTTACCTAGGTCATCCAAGATTTTAACTAGGAAAAATTGTCATTTGGTAGCACATGTTGGAAGAAATGATTTATTTCCTTTTTTTTTTTTTTTGGCTGCGCCGTGCAGCATATGGAGGATCTTAGTTCCCTAACCAGGGATTGAACCCATGCCCCCTGCAGTGGAAGCGCAGAGTCTTAACCACTGGACCGGCAGAGAAGTCCCTATTTACTTATTTTAGTGGAACAGTAATTGATGTATGGGTAAATAAGGAGAACAAATACCTCAAATTGTAATTTGGGCAAGTTTACTAACTGGAATACAGAGAATAGTAAACATTTAAAGTTTTGTCCAGTACACTATTATTTCAGGTTGAAATTTTAAGTTGTTTATTTGATTTTGGGGTTCTACCCTTGTTCCTTTGCCAACTGTTTCATAGTGGGCGGAAAAAAACACTCACCCGGAGAGTTTTCGGTAGTGCAACAAAGAGTGTTTTATAATAAATAAGTAAGGGCGGCTTCCCTGGTGGCGCAGTGGTTGGGAGTATGCCTGCCAATGTAGGCGACATGGGTTCGAGCCCTGGTCTGGGAGGATCCCACATGCCGCAGAGCAACTCGGCCCGTGCGCCACAACTACTGAGCTTGCGTTCTGGAGCCCGGGAGCCACAACTGCTGAAGCCCGCGCGCCTAGAGCCCGTGCTTGGCAACAAGAGAAGCCACCACAATGAGAAGCCCGTGCGCCACAGCGAAGAGTAGCCCCCGCTCGCCACAACTGGAGAAAGCCCGCACGCAGCAACGAAGGCCCAATGCAGCCCGCCCCCGCCAAAAAAAAATAAGGGCATGAAGAAACATTTTAGGACCCAGAAAAATGATTGAGCCCAAAAGAGACAGCAAAAGCAGTTTATGGTGACATGAAACCCTACATGCTTTCCTGTGGGGAAAGTACCTGACATAATGACTTGAAGTCAGAATCAGAATCCTCTCTGAACTTTGCTCCATTGAACATTGTGACTTTGGGCAAATCACTTAATCATTCTTTGTACCAGTTTATTTTCTATAAAATGAGAACAATGAATATCTGGTAGGGTTGTGAGAATTAAATGGCATGATACATGTGAAAACGCACAGGGAAGTGCCTGGCAAATACTAGGTGCTCAATAAAAGTCAAATTGGAATCTAGTCAAAATAAGTTTAAAAAATAAATACTACTTTGTTATAGCTGTGACCTTCTTATCTGTGATGGTTAGTTTTATGTGTGAACTTGGCTTGGCTATAGTATCCAGTTACTTAATCAAATACTGATCTAGGTATTGCTCTGAAGGAATCTTGTAAATGTGGTTAACACCTACAGTCAGTTGACTTCAAGTGAAGATTACCCTCAATAATGTGAGTGGGCCTCATTTAAACAGTTGAAAGGCCGTAAGAGCAAACACTGAGTTTAGGGATTGGGGTAGGGAAGTTAAACCTTTATTTGGGGAGGTCTCCTGTCTGACCCCTCACCTTGGTGGACTTCCCCTCCCTTCACCCCTCTTCCCTTCTTCCTTCTTTGTTTCATTTATTTGAATATTTTGAATATACCAGAATTTTTAGATGTTTTCAGTGGAAAGGTCAGTTGGAGTATCTAGTGTGCCGCACAACCTTAACCCGATTGCTTTTGCATCTGCTGTTCCCTTGTCATTTGTAGCTGCATTCCCAGTCCGTGGATACCTCTTTAAACCTTGACTGATTACTCCTTACAGAATTAGGTGCTTCTTCTGTTTCCATTTGAAGACTTTCTATTGACTGAAGGATAAAGGCCAAATAGTAAATATGGCATGAAAAGCCCCTTTTTTAAATGAATATTTTCACATGTACAGCAAAGTTAGAAGAATTTTGCAGTGATTATCCATTCACCTATTGCCTAAATCCTACCAATAACATTTTAGTATACAGTACTTTTTTTAATCTTATATCTATTTATCCATTCCTCTCTCTATCAATTCATTTTATTTTTTGATACATTTTAAAGTAAATTGCAAACATCTGTATACTTTCCCTCTAAATATTTCAACATACATATCATTAAAGTTCAATTCTCTGTTTTTTCTTTGGATGTAAAATTTGTATTCAATGTAAATGCACAAATCGTGTGTATTTGCTGAATTTTAAGAAGTGCATTTATATGCATAACCAAAACCCCTATCAAGATAGAGAACTTTACCCATCAAACATGAAAGTTCCTCATGCCCCTTCCCTGTAATTCTCACCTTCACCTTCCCCCTTCTCTCCAGGGCAACTATCTGTTCTGATTTTTTTCTTCACCATAAATTAGATTTGTTCATTCTAGGACTGCATGTGAGTAGAATTATATAATATTTACTATTTGGTGTCAGGTTTCTTTCACTCACATAGTATTTTTGATATTCATGTTGTTGCATGTGTTGGTAGTTCCTTTTTATTGCCAATTAGTATTCCATTGTATGAATGTAACATAGTTTATCTATTTTCCTGTTGATGCACACCTGGCTGTTTTCAGGTTTTGGTAACCATAAAGCTGTGATATACATTCTTGTACAGGTCTTCTTGTGGATATATATTGGTAGATACCTAGACATTTAGGTTACTTCCATGTCTTGGCTGTTGCAAACAGTGCTGCTATGAACATTGTGGTAGTTTTTGTCTTTTCTGGATATATGCCCAGGAGTGGGACTCTGGATTATATGGTAACCCTATTTTTAGGTTTTTAAGGAACATCCATACTGTTCTCCTCAGTGGCTGCACCAATTTATTGTACAATCCCACCAACAGTGTAGGAGGGTTCCTTTTCCTCCACACCCTCTCCAGCATTTATTATTTGTAGACTTTTTGATGATGGCCATTCTGATTGGTGTGAGGTGATGATACCTCATTGTAGTTTTTTTTTTTTTTTTTGCGGTACGCGGGCCTCTCACCGTTGCGGCCTCTCCCGTTGCGGAGCACAGGCTCTGGATGCGCAGGCTCAGCGGCCATGGCTCATGGGCCTAGCTGCTCCACGGGATGTGGGATCTTCCCGGACCGGGGCACGAACCCGCGTCCCCTGCATCGGCAGGCGGGCACTCAACCACTGCGCTACCAGGGAAGCCCCTCATTGTAGTTTTGATTTACATTTCTCTAATAATTAGTGATGTTGAGCATCTTTTCATGTGCCTATTGGCCATCTGTATGTCTTCTTTGGAGAAATACCTATTTAGGTCTTATGCCCATTTTTTGATTGGGTTGTTTGTTTTTTTGATATTGAGTTGTATGAGCTGTTTATATATTTTGGAAATTAAGTCCTTGTCAGTTGCATTGTTTGCATTTTCTCCCATTCCATAAGTTGTCCCCATGTACACACATGCTTTTTTAAAGTAGATGTGAGGGCAGTCTGGCTTTGTTGTCTGATATTCTGTTGATCTGTTGATCACTGGAGTTGATTCAATTAGGCTTGCCAATCAAATGGATATTCTTTGTTCTCACTATTCTAGGAATGTCCAATTTAAAGCTTGACAATTGAAGAGAATTATGACCTTGATAAAGGAGGACTATTCTTTGGTTAAGAGCAGCCATCATTGGGTAAACATTTAGCCCCCTATGTGCCCTTCCCTCATCCCATCTTCTTTCTTTTTCTTCAGAGATAACCACTATCCTTAATTTTGTGTTTCATTTCCTAGTCTTTTACCACTTAAGCATTCCTAGAAAATACAGTTTAGGTTTGCTTGTTTTACATTTTATGTGAGTGGAATTTTACTATATATACGTTCTTCTGCAACTTGTTTTTTTCACTCAAATTGTGGTCCTTAGTATCATCCACGTTCCTGAGAATTATCTACGTTGATAGGTTAGGTAGTTCATTTTTTTTCTTACTGTTGTTTACAATTTCACAGTATGAATATATTGATTTATCCATTCTTCAGTCGTTGGATGTTTTGTTGTTTCCAGGTGTTTGATATTACAAATAATGCTGTGAACATTCTTGTACATCTTCTGGTACACACAAGTGTAAGAGTGTCTGTATATATTTAGGAGTATAATTATTAGATTGTAGAGCATGCCTATATTCAACTTTTATTAGATCAGAGGTTCTCAGACTTTTTGGTCTTATGACCCCTGTACACATTTAAAATTATTGAGAACCCTGGAGAACTTTGCGAGTTAAGTCTATTGGTATTTACTATATTAGAAGTTAAAATTAGAAACAAATGTTTATTAGTCCATTTAAGATTTGTGTCTATGAGAAATGAGATTTGTCCTGCTGTTGAATCAGTAGTTTGTTCCTTTTTATTGCTGAGTAGTATTTCATTATATGAATATACTATAGTTAGTTTATCCATTTACCTATTGATACTAGGACTGTTTACGTTTTTGGCTATTATGAATAAAGCTGCTATGAACATTCTTATTCAAGTCTTTTTGTGAACATATATTTTTCATCTTTCTTGGGTAAATTCATAGAAGTGGAATTACCAGGTCATAGAGTTAGTTTATGTTTAGTTTTTTAAGGGACTGCAAGACTTTTTTCCACAGTGATGTAACTTTTCATTCTCATCATGGAAGTTTTGGGTGCTCCACACACTCAAGGACATTTAGCGTTGCCATGCTTTTTAATTTTGTCTATTCTGGAGTGTGTATAGTGGCATCTCATTGTGATTTTTTTTTTATTTTGTTGCGGTATGCGGGCCTCTCACTGCTGTGGCCTCTCCCGTTGCGGAGCACAGGCTCCGGACGCACGGGCCCAGCGGCCATGGCTCACGGGCCCAGCCTCTTCGCGGCATGTGGGATCTTCCCGGACTGGGACACGAACCCGCGTCCCCTGCATTGGCAGGCGGACTCCCAACCACTGCGCCACCAGGGAAGCCCTCATTGTGATTTTAATTAGCATTTACTGATAACTAAAGATGCTGAGCACATTTTCATGTGCTTCTTGGACATTCGTATATCTTCTTTTGTATATTGTCTTTTCAGATCTTTTGCCCATTAAAAAAAGTTGGGTTGTCTTTTTATTTTTAAAATTAATTTTATTTTTGGCTGTGGTGAGTCTTCGTTGCAGCACGCGGACTTTCTCTAGTTGTGGCGAGCGGGGCCTACTCTTCATTGCAGTGTGCAGGCTTCTCATTGCGGTGGCTTCTCTTGTCACGGAGCACAGGCTCTAGGTGCGTGGGCTTCAGTAGTTGTGGCACACGGGCTAAGTTGCTCCGCAACATGTGGGATCTTCCCGGACCAGGGCTTGAACCCATGTCCCCTGCATTGGCAGACAGATTCTCAACCACTGTGCCACCAGTGAAGCCCGGGTTGTCTTTTTTTAAAATCTTTTTAATTAATTTATTAATTTTTATATTTATTTTTGGCTGTGTTGGGTCTTCGTTTCTGTGCGAGGGCTTTCTCTAGTTGCGGCAAGTGGGGGCCACTCTTCATCGCGGTGCGTGGGCCTCTTCACTGTCTTGGCCTCTCTTGTTGCAGAGCACAGGCTCCAGACGTGCAAGGCTCAGTAGTTGTGGCTCACGGGCCTAGTTGCTCCGCGGCATGTGGGATCTTCCCAGACCAGGGCTCGAACCCGTGTCCCCTGCATTAGCAGGCAGATTCTCAACCACTGCACCACCAGGGAAGCCCCTGGGTTGTCTTTTTATTATTGAGTTGCAAGGTTCCTTATATATTCTGGACATAAGTCCTTTTATCCGATGGATGTTTGGTGACTGTTTTCTCCCTGTCTATGTTTTGTCTATTCATTTTCTAAAAAGTATCTTTTAATGAGGAGAAGTTTAAAATTTTTATGGAGTCTAATTTATCTTTTTTTTTTAATAGTTATTGCTTTCCTTATCCCGTTTAGAAACTTTTGTCTACCCTCAGATTATAAAGGTATTTTCCCATATTCTCTTATAGAAGTTTTATAGTTATAGCTTGATACTTAGATCTATATCCATCTCAAATTCATTGTATATATGGTGTGAGGTAGGGATTGAAGTTTATTTTTTTCTCATATGCATGTCCAGTTGTTACAGTGTTATTTGCTGAAAAAACATTCCCCCCCACATTGGATTGCTTTTGCTCTTTTGTCAAAAATCAGTGAGCTGTACATGTAGGTCTATTTCTGGGCTCTCTGCTCTGTTGATCTATTTGCATATCCTTATGCCATTACCACAGAGTCTTGATATATATAGCTTTATAGTGGACCTTGAAATCAACTACTATAAATCTTCCAACTTGGTTCTTTTAAAATATTGTTTTGGATATTTAGGTCTTATGCATTTTCATATAAATTTTTGAATCAACTTGTCTATTATGGTGGTTTTAAAAGATGTGCACTTTGCTATCTCTCTGTAGAACTTAATTACCTTCCCCTTGAGTGTGGTCCAAATTTAGTACCTTGCTTCTAATAAAATAAATTAGAAGTAATGTGATGAAACTTTGGATACTAGGTTATAAAAGGCATGACTGCTTCCCTCTTGGCCTCTTTCTTGGATCACTCACTCTGGGGGAAGACAGCCCTCATGTCATGAAAGGTCTATGTGATGAGGAACTGAGGCCTCCAGCCAACAGACAGGTGAATTAGCCATCTCGAAAGTTGACCTTCCAGCTCCATTTAGGCCTTCAGATGACTTTGGAGCTGGCCAACATTTTGACTACATTCCCATGAGAGATCCTGAGTCTGAACTGTTTCCATATTTTTGACTCTCAGAAATTATGTGACATAATAAATGTCTGATGTTTTAAGCTGCTAAGTTTTGAGGTAATCTGTTATATAAAATAGATAATACATCAATTTTTATTTTAAAAGCCTACTGGGATTGTATCATATTATAAATCATCTTGGCGAAACAGACATCTTAAAAATATGAGTCTTACAATCCACCATGTTATATTTCTCCATTTATGTAGGTCTCCTTTAATTTTTCTCAGTAGTTTTCATTGTAGAGGTCTTAAACATCTTGTTAAATTTATTTCTAAGTACTTTATATTTTTTGATGTTCTTATACATTATATTCTTAAAATTTCATTTTTCTCATTGTTTCTCTATTGCTAGTATAGATATTTAAATTGATTTTTGTCATCATCCTTATATCTTCTACCTTGCTAAACTTATTAATTTTTTGTCACTAAGTAAATAATCATGTAATCTATGAATAGAAAGTTTCGCTTCATCCATTTCAGTAATCTTTATGCATTATTTTTCTTCCCATACTGTACTGGCTAGGACCTTCCAGTACATTGTTGAGTAGAAGTGATATGAGCAAACAGCTTTGCCATTTTTATTTTTTAATTTAAGGAGGAAAGCATTAAATATTTTATTATTAGATATGATGGGTTTTTTATTATTAGGTAAGCTGTAGATTTTTTGTAGGACTTCTTGGTTGAGGAAATTCTTTTCTTTTCCTGACTTGCTTGAGTTTTATCATGAGTGGGTATTGAATTTTGTCAAATATTATTCTATACCTGTTGAAGTGATTTTGTCCTTTCTGTTAATATGATGAAGTCAATTGATTGATTTTTTAATGTTGGACCAACTTTGCTTTCCTGGCCCATTTGGACATGATGTATTAGCATCTCTGTCTCTCCTTCTCTATCTCTGTCTATGTCCATATCCATATCTATATCTATAAATCTATATCTGGGTTTGATTTGCCAGTACAGTTGCCCCATGAACAACATGGGTTTGAACTGTGCAAGTCCACTTATACAGGGATTTTTTTTCAGTGAATATGTGCTACAGTACTACATGATCCTGGTTGGTTGAACCCACTGATATGGAGCCCATGGGTGCAGAGTGCGGACTGTAAAGTTATGCTCAGATTTTCAACTGCTTGGAGGGTTGGCTTCCCTAACCCCAGTGTTGCTCAAGGGCCAACTGTATTTTTGTTAAGGATTTTGTATCTTTGTTCATGAGAGAGACTGGTCTATAATTTTGTTTTCCATTATGTTTCTTTTGTCAGTTTTTTATAGGTTGTATTTTTCAAGAAATTTATTTTATGTAAATTGCTGAATTTTCTGATGTTCTCTTATTGGTCTTTTAATGTCTGTAGACTCTAAGGTGATCTCTGCTCTTTCATTCCTCATATTGGTAGTTTGTGTATTCTCTCTTTTTTTGTTGATTAATCATCTTAGTGGTTTATTAAATGTTATTAATCATGTCAGAGGTACAACTTCTTGCTATGTTAATTTTCTCTACTTTTTTCTTATTCTATTCTTTTTTCTTTTACTTATTTTTTATTCAATTTATTATTTTTTTAGTTTCATGAGATAGAAGCTTAGAACACTAATTTTAGACCTTATTTAAAAAAATTAGAATCATTTATAGTTATAAATTTCACTCTTAGCACTCTATAGCTGTGTGTCAACACATTTTAATATGCTTTATTTCCATTCTTCCTGTGATTTCTTTTACATGACCCATAGGTTAAAGAAGAAATCACAGGGGAAGTAGAAATAAACTATAGGTTATATAGAAGTGTGTTGTCTAATTACCAAATATTTGGAATTTGCAAGGTATCTTTTTGTTAGTGTTTTCTAGTTTAATTTCATTATGTTCAGAAAACATTTTTATTTTTTAAAAAAGTATTTATTTATTTATTTAATTTTTGGCTGTGTTGGGTCTTAGTTGCGACGTGCGGGCTTCTCTCTCTGGTTGCGTCGTGTGGGCTCTTCGTTGCGGTGCACGGGCTTCTCTAGTTGCAGTGTGTGGGCTCGGTAGCTGCGGTGTGTGGGCTTAATTGCCCTGCGGCATGTGGGACCTTAGTTCCCTGACCAGGGATTGAACCCGTGTCCCCTGCATTGGAAGGTGGATTCTTAACCGCTGGACCACCACGGAAGCCCCTCAAACATATTTTTAATTTAAATTCTTTTAAACTTATTGGCTTGTTTTATGGCTTGTCACATGTTTCACTTGGTGAATGTTCCACACGGATTTGAAAAGGATATATATTCTGTTTATGCATGTAGTATTCTATAATAGTCAGGTCAAATTGGTTGCTAGTGTTGTTCAAGTCTTCTGTATATTTACTGATATTTCTGTCTATTTCTGTTAATTATTAAGAAGAGTATTGGATCACCAATGCTATAGTACAACTTTAGTAGTATATTTTTCTATATCTCCTTTCTATTCTTATATGTTTTGATGCTACATTCTTAGGCATATACACTTCAGGATTGTCATGTAATCTTGAGGTATTCACCCTTTATCATTGTGAAATGTCCTTTTTCTCTGGCAATATGCTATGTTCTGAAGTCTCTTTTGCCTGATATTAATGTAGCCATTCATCTTTCTTATAATTTGCATTGGCATAGTACTTCTTTTTTATCCTGTTAATTTTAACCTCTCTGTATCTTTACATTTAAAGTGCTTTTCTTGTAGTTGCTTATAGTTGGCTCTCTCTCTCTCTCCCTTTCTTTTCTTTTTTTCTTTCTGGTCTAGTCTGACAGTCTCTGATTTCTTTTTATTTTTTTAAATTTTTGAATTTTATTT